TAGTTCAAAGAAGTTGAAAATAAATTAATTTGAATAGCCTAGTTTTTTATGGTATTTCATTCGTCTGTTATTTTTATCTGACTAAATCAATTTGTGATATGATATGAGATAGTTTAATAACAAATGAACGAACGTGAGGTGTGGAGAGAATAACCAATTTGGACAAATAAACTAGTGTTCATTGACAACACGTCAACACCGAACTGACATTTCAATAGTACGGAAAAAACTCGCGATATTTTATACTTTTCCTAAGCATTTGCAGAGCAGGATATAGGTTTTGAAATCTTTAAGTTCATTTTGAGATTATTGTAAGCAGCATAATGCTCCAAAATTCATTATTTTGATGGATATCTTCGTAATATCTTAGTTGATGGATTTCTTCGTAATATCTTAGTTTATGGATATCTTCGTAATATCTTAGTTGATGGATATCTTCGTAATATCTTAGTTGATGGATATCTTCTTAATATCTTAGTTGATTGTTATCTTCGTAATATCTTAGTTTCCATATAATGAAAGAAACGGCCAATGCCAATTTTTATGCGGATATCAATTCTTGCGGACGCTGCAATAGAGGATCAGAGGTCCGCTGGTGGTACTTAGAGACGCTCCCGTAAAGGGGACTTTATGGTCCCTTTGGGGGCCAATCGCCTGGAATAGGATGGAAAAAAGGGGCCCAAACAGGGGGACCAGGGGATAACAGCAGGTAAGAAGAGAACAAAGGGGATAAGGACTGTGAGGGAGGAGGGATGCAAGCGTATTGTTCAAGGCGTCGAGCGAAGGTAGACATGAGGCTTGGTAGACGCGCGTCAAGATCTACGCTATAGCTGGAACATACTGTGAAATACAGCAAAAATAAGGCATGTAACATAAATAACACTCATTAAAAATAGTCAATACGAAGGGAAGTTTTTTGCACATATAATTTACAAACCCAAATAATTTTGGAAATGGCGGTTTGTATAATGAAAGATCGGGCGAGTAAAATTTGTTGAGTTATGCCACGTCGAGGAACTTGACAAACATCAATTTTTAAATAACTAATGTTGAAAAATGTTATCGGCAACGGTATTTTTATGATAAGAATGATGCTGCAACTCTATTTACTAAAAATTAATTACAAAAATAGCAATAAATTGGAATATCTATTAGAGAATCGGGATGAGGTATGTAACGTTCACAAATAGAGTTCGTAACACTGAACAATATGTGAAAATTAATTGGAATAGGGGATTCGCGGCATGAAAATCAGATTAGACAATTTCAATAATATGAGTCAAAGAAGCAATAGGCAAGTTTATTAAAAATATTATTATTAATTACATTATTAATCAAATCATTATTAATTATTATTATATTAATAACGGCGCAAATTATTATTATTAAAAGAGAGAAATACATAATAGTGTTCGCTATGTAGGAATATAGAAAAGTCGAAAGAGAAAAAAGGGGGAGAGGAAGAAGTCAGAAGGGGAGACAGGAACAAGGGGAAGAAGGGAAATGAGGAAAGAAGTTAAGAGCTGTGAAATGGTCAATTTGTAGACGGTAGAACGGCCCCACTGGGACGTCGGTTTCCATTAGGCGCGAGAAACATCACACGGAATTACGACATCAACTTATTAAAACAAACCCAAATGGTGGATAATGGAATGAATTTGGGGCCGAGATCCCCTCTTTGTCAATAAATTATTCATCTCACAATGGCCCTGAAAGTGATGAAGTGTTCCGAGAAACTGACTTGGAGAAATTCTCTACGGAACATTTTTGTGCGCCATTAGATTATCCGAATACCGAGATAACTCCTACGAGGCTGCAACTGCACTTTGTGTTATTGTTAAATACAACTACAACAATCGCTTTTTGTAAGCTGACGATTTGATGTTGTTGTTGTGCTGGAGAAATTTTTGGTGGATAAAACGGCGATATTTTTTAGCACATTTTTTAATCCACCTGAGGACGAGAATATTTTTTTAATTTAGATGAAACTGAGTTTCCCTGAGCCGGACAAAATACTTAAAAGTACGACGATGTTTGTAAAAATAATTTTTGTATGCAATTCGCTAATATTTAAGAGGCAGGCAGGCTTTTTAGGAAATATATTCTAGAGTATAAAGTAAATGAACAAATAGACTCTCAGATGCGTGAGATTCAGATTTGCCTAGCCTCACGAGACTCACCTCGTCTAGCCTCACGAGACTCACCTCGTCTAGCCTCACGAGACTCACTTCGTCTAGCCTCACGAGACTCGTCTAGCCTCACGAGACTCGTCTAGCCTCACGAGACTCACCTCGTCTAGCCTCACGAGACTCACCTCACCTAGCCTCACGAGACTCACCTCAAGTTCACAAGGAATTTAAAAGCAAAGAAAACGCCAAGAAAATTCACCATATCGATATTGAAAACGTTTCGGAGTCCAGCTCCATCATCAGTTGGGGCTACTCGGGACAATCTCTATTTTGCGTCTGGCACCTTACGAATAGCATATGGAATTTTTTTGACAACGCCATTCGATAGCCCTGCCAATCAGCTATAAAATGAGACTAAACTTTGTTTATGAAATGTTTCATTGTAAGAAGTTATTAACTGTTATTTAAAACTAATCGTTCAAATCTGTCCTGAGTAGCCCCGGTTGAAGGTATACTATATATATATACTTTACTCAATTAAGCTAATTTAGGTCTCTAATTGCTAGTTTTTTTGATTGTATCTGAAATTGGTAGGCGAAAATAGCTTGCATGCCGAATTTCAGATCTCTAGAGCAATCAGAAGTTGGCTAATTTTTGTTGTCAATGTTAACAACAAACAAACGCGAAGCTAAGTTAAGAAAAACGTGTTAAAAAGCAAAACCTGAAAGCTTGGAAAGTCCAGGTACTTTCCACTTTCAATCCATTGTATACATATTTGTTTATGACATCCCTTTCCAGCTGTGATTGGTTGATGGGATTGTTATGTAATCCTTTCCAGCTGCAATTGGTTGTGCCCAAATATGGTATGTGTACTGGTTAACTTAATTATTAAACTAACTTAACTTAATACTTAACTTAAACTTAATCATTAAAAACGATGGGCCTGGAAAATTGTCAAAAAGGAGCGCTTTGGAGAATTTTCAATGCAATGTGTAATTGTGCATTGTATCTTGCTACTGTGGCCGCCCTTACTAAACAGTGCCAGATGCTATCACTTAATAGGCAGTGCTATCAACTCCTGTCAGAAAAATCAATGTTGAAATATCAATGTACTTCAGTGTGGAATTCTTGGATAGTACACGAAGTCTCTGCCATTTTTGGGTGGATGCAGGTCAATCTTCAGACTCTGATTGTGATGTATCCACTTCAGACTGTGTCTCTGTGATAGGTTGTGTGATGGCTTTTTCATGCTATGTGTACTGGTTAATTAAATGCCTCTTGAGAATTCCTCACTGAATTATTGTCCTTGCATGTAAAATCGTGGCAGAGGAGGGGGCCTGCTGTTTTGTGTGTGAGCTGAAAGTTAAATGCAGGAAAGTGGGCAGGTGCTGGTAGGAAAGGTAAATGCAATCTACCTCATTTATATACCAGTATATATGAAGGATGTACACAAATATTATAAAACTTTACAGCTATTTCAATCATTCATAGTGCCTGCAATCAAGATTTATCATTTTGATTAAAGGTCATAGAATTAGGTATAGAGGATGAATCAATGAAGACTGATTTCCTAGTTTTAATGTATGACTTTTTCTTGCAGGTCGAAAGTTCAGTGACAAGCATGAGTGGGTGGAGGTGTCTGGCAGCAGTGGCAAAATAGGAATCACAAATTATGCCCAAGATGCTTTGGGGGATATTGTTTATGCACAGCTACCTGAACTGGATTCTGAGTTCTCTCAGGGAGGTGAGTATTTTAACTGAACTGAATAATACAATTTGTCATATTTTAACTGAACTCATGCTATCCACATAAGCTTCTTTGCCCAGCTCATTATTTCCTGAAACCCCTGGTTGTCCTTTTAAGCTTTTTTGGTCATAATTTAAGGTGCCATTTATCCCTGTTTGTATATTTAATGTATGTACACTTCTGCTGAAAATGCAATGAAAAGCATTAAATATATAGTTAAGTATGACATCTGAGAAATAGGGTGAAATGTTATTTAGTGATTGTTCTTAATATTTTTTTTTATCATGTGCACCTCATTGGGAGCCAAGTTTTTATAGCAACAATTGAAAATATTTACAAAGATGCTTTTGCTCTCATCAATTATTTTCCAAATTTGTGAAACAAAAAATAAAAATGTGAGAAATTAATAAGAAAAAGTTGCTGGGCAACAATTGACTGGCTGGTGAAGTATGAAATAGTTTACCAGTTGTAGACTACATAACAATGCTATCATCATCATCCACAAAATCTCCTCTGGGCAGCCAGTAATGTCATGAATTTAGTCAAAAATGCATTCTAAATTCTGGTTATTAAGAAAGGCAAATTTCCATTAATGCATGAAGTTATGTGTTCAATGACACAAGCTGCTGAACTATCTACAGTACTAGTGCAGCTCAGGAGTGTTTTCAAATGTCTTTGAAGAAAATATAATTGCATTTTGGGAATTTTCTACTAATTGCATTTTCAAAACTTTTTATGAGGCATTTTTTTTATTTATGAGGGCATCTAAGTGCAAGTTTTTTCTTTGCTTCTGCAGGACTCTATTGTGTATAAATATATATATATATTTTTTTTCTGGAGCAGCTTAATTCTCTAGCAATTTGGTGTATTCAAATAGGGTTTTATGTTAGGTCCTGTTTAGGTTTTATGTCTGTCTTTGAATTTTGACTTTTAAAGTGATTTTATTCATTTTTAGTTTAGTCGAACTGATGATGGAGCTGGACTCCGAAACGCTTTCAATATCGATATGGTGAATTTTCTTGGCGTTTTCTCTGCTTTTAAATTCCTTGAGACTCACCTCGTCTAGCCTCACGAGACTCGTCTAGCCTCACGAGACTCACCTCGTCTAGCCTCACGAGCCTCACCTAACTGAGGCGGAGGCCTGCAGCCTGAGCGTCTTCACGGCCACGACCTGCTTGCGGCCGCCGTCGTGCGCCAGCTCGCCCAGGTGCACCTGAGACAAGCATGCACAAGTATGGCCAATTAATTATTTAATTTGGTGAATTTAATTATTTGGTGATTATAGGCAATTATAGGCAAAATATAGGTAATTATAGGTAATTATAGGTAATTATTGGTAATTATTGGCAATTATTGGTTATTATAGGCAATTACTGGTAAATATAGGTAACTATAGGTAATGATAGGTATTTATAGGTAATTATTGGTTATTATAGGTATTTATGGGTAATTATAGGTAATTATAGGTAACTATAGGTCATTATATGTAAATAAATGTAGGTAATTATGGGTAATTATTATAGGCAATTATGGGTAATTAATTCTAGGTAATAATAGGTAATTAATTAGGACTAGCTGATAAAAAGATCATGAATCAGATTACTACCGTATTCCATGCAAAAATTAATTCCTACACAGCTCTAGGATATTACAAGGAAAATTTATATTGTAGCACAGGAATATTTGTGTTGAATCTGAGTTTAAGGGACCTGAGCTGGACCTGAGTGAAGCTGAATACCTTTCACAATATCTGAAGTGTAAATCGTTTGAATGAGTTCAATATAACGATTTTAAACTCCAAACCGTGATTTCCATCACAGAAACCTACACAGTTCATTGACAGTTTTTCATGATTCGTACACCACCGAAATGTGATGTTATGAGGAATAAATCCATTTAGAACTAATCTAAGAACTGAACTAACCATATCTAATACCATCAAAAAAGTATTCAAAATTATATTAACTACGATATAAAAAAGTTATTTTTAAGGCTCGAAAAAAAAACTTAACTTTGCCAAAGGTAAGCAAAGGTTCCAAACTCAATCAAAGATGCAAGTGCTTAACATGATGCAATCTAATGCAATGAATAAACGTTCAAAATTATTTCATAATTTCCTAAATTTATAGCGGCCTAAAAAAATTACTCAAAACAACATTCCTTCCAACAATATTCCTTCCAATGAAAATTTGATAGCAAGCAACAACAGAGAAGTGAATCTGATGAAAGTCTCAGGTTTCCCTGGAAATATTCGTGCAGAAAAGGACGGTCACCTCGCCAAACTGTCCCTCGCCGAGTTTTTGCAGCAACGTAATCTTATCTTGCGCTATCTCCTGTGGAGGGCTGGTCTCCATCAGCGCTACCACGTCTTCCCCTGCCATCAGGCCTCCACCGTTCTGTAGTGCAGGGAATTACTGACGCGAGTAACCGAGTACATCACGATATATTTTAGTAATATCGTTCATTATATATTACTCTACTACTTCATTACATTGTCAGTAATTTATTATTCATTAAATTATTACCTCATCAATTATTACTTCAATTTTTGTTTCACGAATGTTAAACTGTTCAAGATTTTCACAGCACTGATATGACTATTTTTGACTTATGCAGTTTTTGCCTGACATTTTATCTCAACGAAGTCTATTTTAAACTGCACAAGAAGGCAGTGAAAAAACCTGTTTATCTTCCAGTTTTACCTCCAAAATCTCAGTAGTTGCGTAGAAATTTTCTTCTTGATGTGTCGCCCCAGCACTGTTGGTTGATCCTCCAGAACTGGAAGACACCGTAGCTCCTGAGGAACCTGCAGGGGTGCTACCAAGGGTACCTCCCAAGGTGCTGCCTAGAGTACTTGTGTTCATACCCCCACCATGACGAGAAGGTATTGAATTAATTGTGTTGTTTTCACCACAACTCAAATCTGCGGCCATGTTGCGGGTAAGAGTACTCGATATGTTGCGGTGGCTGAGAGTAGAGCAAGCAGGCATGGTGCCGTTGTCCATGGGGTTGGCTATGATGGATGAGGAGGTTGAGTGAGAGCCCAGTAGTGAGTGTTTACTCATGAAGGATGCAAAAGGACCTTGGTAAGGGACCTTGTTGTGTGCCAGCAGCGGGGGCGCGTATAAAACTTCTTCTTCCGTTCCAGACGTCGTGATGTGCGGCACTGCATTATATTATCATTATAATCACAAATAAAAGTATTATCACATTATTATCACAAAATTATTATCACATTATTATCACAAAAGTATTATCACATTATTATCACAAAAGTATTAACACATTATATCACAAATAAAAGTATCAAAAATGTGCAATAGATTTTCATGATGAAAGAATTGCGGACATGTAAGTAATAATTGAAGTTGAAAATAAAAATAATATATCAGGGTGAATCAGGAATTCGTCGCGGGCGTGTAGAGTTATTCCTGTATTTCTGTACGAAGGTTAGAATCCAAAATAATATTGTAGCTAAAGTGGAAATAAAATTTACATATTAGTTAGAACCGACAGCAAAGAAATTAGCAGGAAATTTTTAATATTTTTCCATTTTACCACCGATGTTTGCTAAAAAATTCATCACCTCTATGCTTTTCAATATATTGAAATTGTGCTGTATTAATGTTAGCCTTGAGGTAGAGTTGATCTTAAATTGTCGAATGTGCGACGTGGGCAGAAGCGTGACAAATTTTAATATGGAATTATAATTATTTACCGGTGTAGTCGGGTGACGAAAGTCTGTTGAGGGACGAGTCCTTGCCATGCATTCTAGGGTAGCCCACTAAGTTGCTGAACGCAAGCTGGTAGGGCTCAGAGTAAAGACCTGACTTGCCTTCTCCACTGCCCAGGCCGAGCTGAAGCAAAAAAATATAACTCAGTACTCACTGCAGTGAGTGACAGAGAGCGCATTTTCTCGTCGACGAAAAATTGAGGTCACGGACGGACGGACAGACAGACGGACATGGCGAGCACAATAGTGCATTTTTTTATAAATGAGAAATTGCGCTAAAAATACATTATAAACTAGAGCCAATATATCTGTTAAGTTTGCATGAATAAATGTACTGAATATGCATTGCCGAATGACGATGTAGGCCCGGTGAGACGCTACCGCTGACCAGTCCCAGCTTAAGTCAAATAATAAACATAACCATAGGAATGCAGGTTATAAATTATAAATGAATAATTCGTTGCGTTGATGCTGAGTTAATTTGGAATCGGTACCAACCATCCGTACCCAATGGCATAGAATAATATTATCAAAGCATTATTAAAACCCTTAGAGGATATGCTGCGTAAATTACATTGCCTGACGACTCAAAAAAATTAGTCATGAATCAGGAAAAAAAATTAAAAACGTTTGAAAAAAATGAACAAATAAAAATACAAGAAAACATGCTATGGTCTTCGCAGCAGTTCACCATAAAGAAGTTTTATGGTTTAAGAAGAAGGATGACGCCTCCTGAACTTAAAAATGCATGGACGCAATTACAACAGGCTACAAGAAACCCTGTGTCTCCTCTAAATAAAAAAAATATACTGCAGTGAGTGACAGAGAGCGCATTTTCTCGTCGACGAAAACGTGAAGTCACGTACGGACAGACAGACGGACAGACGGACGGACGGACAGACGGACATGGCGAGCAAAATTGTGCATTTTTTTCATAAATGAGAAAATGCGCTAAAAATCTTTCTGTTGGTCTTCCGACGTCGATAAAGTTTCGTGGGGGTATTGTCCATGTTGAGTCGGTAGTTACTCTCTACATTAGAGGATGTAGTTTAGAGATCTGTAAGTCAGTTTGCTGTTATTATTCGCACCTGAGATACTTGCTTGGCCAGAATGAATGGCGATTATAAGGATTTTATCATTTGTAAGAATTGTGAATTGTCGTGCTTCTATCTTCTTGTAATTTAGGATACTTACTTGGTTGAAAATATGGTAAGTAGAAGCAGTAATTCTTTGAAAATTATATTGGTGCTCACTAGTGAGGAAACATGATGTTTATTTAAAAATCATATCATAAATTCTTTAAGGCAAATAATGTGTAGAACAGGAAAGATTATTTTGACTATCAATCAATTTATGATAAATTATTAATATCGAATGACCAGAAAATGGGGTATGAGTCTACTGTAACAAATAACTTAGTTATTAAATAGAAAGGAAAATTTTTGAGAGAAAAAAAATCATCATTAGAAAAGTGATTGGCAGGAACTGGTGAGCAGCTAAATATTAGAACACAATTTGACGAAGAGTGCAAGTATTTAAATCGCAACAACAATGAATAATTATTAATTACTACACATTATAATCATGAATAAAAGCAAGAACTCGGGGCACAATAACCGATTTACTGTAATGACGACGTGATTAATAAAAAACACAAGTGGTCCGCGACGCTCGTCGCACGATCCCTCGCAGTAGGTGTCAGTCCTGATGCATGTGGCCTTGCATAAACAAACATTTATTACATACAAGAATTCCTCCTGAGTTGACGAAGTTGTGCAGAATTTGCAGAAAATGTTTGCGTTGCATAGTATATAAACATATGAAGATGCTTCATTCATTCTATTTATTCCTGTTGCTGTTATTTATTGTAGATTCACTTCTATGAATGATTTCTTCATTAATAATGCTGAGAGTTCATAGGTTGGCATAAAAGCTTCAACGGAAGTTAGATAAAACCACACGTGCATCTGCCGTTGGGAAGGTAATGGGGCTATGCTGAATGGTCTCTAAAACACGAAATACGACTCAAAGTTGAACAAAAGTGTCTGGTTTGTCATGGGATTGCTATTTTATGACCTTCGTTTGAAACCCGATGACCTTTCGGCCCTTAATATTAGAAAAGTTTGGCTGTATCTTCATGGCGTTCATCTGATCGAATAGTGGCCACTATCGTAGGATCGTAGTCCGATCAATTACTTATCAAGGAATTTTCATTCACTTCGTACATATCTAGATGACGGATACAATTAGTTCCGCAGAGCACAAAATAATAATTGTAAAAATCTGACAATTCAGTGATCGAAAAAATATAAAATATAAATAACTGATTACGGATGATTTTGGTTTTATCGGGAACAATCCGCGCGAATTCATCATTGTGGTGAAAGACAACGATGAAGATTGTCTTCGCGCCAATCGTAAGCTAATTCTTAGCGAGCGATCGATCGTCAGAGATGTTAAATACAAGCAATAATAGTCGAAAAATAATTTTGATGAATGATTACTCAGTAAATTTGGCCCTAATGGCAATATTTAATCTGATTATACATATCTACATCTTGAAGCCTTGACACCCATACGAAGACCAATTAATTTCAGGTGATCCCAATTTTCAGCCACATAAATTTTTCTATAATAATTTCAAATTTTCACCCACTGCAAACTCACATGGAGGAAATTTATTATTGATTTAACTCGAGTGTCATATTGACGGTTACGTTAGGAGGATCGATCACTGTCAACCTGGGGTAACCTAAAAAGAAAATTGGACAATATCATCTTGAAGTGCTTTAGTTCAGGAAAATAGAAACGATTTATTAAAGTTTCAGTGGCGGATGAATAAGGGAGGTCGGTTTTCAAGTAGGGGGGAGCTCCAAATATTGAAAGCCGAAAAGCAGCAAATATGAAATAAACCTTCGTGATTTCTGAACGACTGTCTATATAAACTTGAGGTAAAATAAAAAATGACTAACACGGAAAATTTATCAAAGCTGTCAGATGAAATCAGTTAGAAGAAAGATATTGTGTAATTGAAACGCCAAATATTATAATCAGTATCAGTTGTGAAGAAGGGAAAATTATAAAACAAGTTGATGAGAAAATAAATGATAAGGGCTTTGTTTATGAATATATATAAAAATGTAGCTTCTAAGTAAATTGAAAAACGATAGGCTGGCTGAGCCTAAGGATTGTCTGTCGCAGCGCCAGCGCCATCTCACCAGCGCAGTACTTACAAACCAAAACTCATATATGTATTTCCGATCAAGATTGCAATATAGTGATCACTTAAACAGTTGATTGCTGGATTTATAAATCGAAGGTTGGAGAATTTAAAAAAACAATAATTAATAATACTTTGGACAGGTTTAAAATCCATGCTACATTTTACAGTCAATTTACATACAATAAAAATAGTGTTACTGAAATTTGCTATATTCAATGCAGTTCAAAAATATCCTAATAAATAATTAACATCGAATAAAGTACATATTAAAAATAGTCGCCAGAAGCATCAAAGTGCCCTCAAATTTAAGCGAGAAGAGGTACTGAGAAAAGCATGGCCGGCGAACATAATAATTTCAAACAAATCATGCCCTGTGATTAGCTAATACGACGCCGTGTAAACTTAAGACGCCAAGTATATATATACTCAATTCAAAAATTTTGTTCACGACGAATAACTTTAATTTAGTAGAGCATGCGTGCGATAAAGTCGCTTGCCGTGATCACGTAACCGTTGAGATTTGCACTGGATAGCTCAAGAATTTCAAGGTTAAAAGGATTTTTAAAGTACATATTCGTAGCATTTTGTAGCTGTGATGTGCTCGAGATGCCATAATTGAAGAGTGCAAAGCAACGCCATTATACTGATGATTCCTTCATTTGCTTTCCTCGAAGAAACTATTCTTATTCGCTGTAAAATATTGAGTTTAAAATATATTCTTAGGTATTTACTGAGAACGAGTGGAGCTTATGGAGCGGAAAGTACCAAAAGGCTGATAAATATAGCGTTCTTCTGGCTTCTTTCTGTCCTCAAATTTTCTGTAGATTGTTTGTTCCGTTATTGTTTTTCTAATTGCAAAATTGGGCTTTTGTATCTACTTTGAAAATTTTGTTGAAAATTTTCTACTCGTTTATTTGAATTTTTGCCTCATGATCTCCGGTCATGGCCTCGTGATGGATTTTGTAATCATCTGATGGAAGCATCTGATTGAGACAACAGAAACACGTGATTGAAGCACAGTTTTGTGATTGATGTCTGTTTTTGAACCCAGCCATGCAATTTAAGCAACAAAATGAAGTGCCGGAGATATCACAGTATCTCATTCGAGTGCCATGGTGAATAATTAACAAGAGATGTGCATGTATAAACTCTAAGTTTTTAATTTAACTCTTGGAGCAGAATTTTTTTGATCTGTGCGCTATTAATGGGTCTTTGAATACTGTTACCAGATGCGTAACAGATATGCTCTATTCAAACGAGTAATTGCTACTTTAAATGGGCAATTTAGAATAATTTCAATGGGTCTGCACTAAAAATTTTCAAAGAACTGCATACTACAAAGACAGAAGTGCTGAGATTCTCATCCAAGCGCCAGAGTGTAGGAAAATAAAAGTGCTGATCATGTTATTGTGGTAACGCATGCAGTGAGCCAAACATTTGGCGCAGGATACTCCATAATCCTACGTGAATGCCAATGAAGACATGTGCTAAACATTGCACCCAAGTCACCAATTTAACAATAAAAGAAATGATGACTGTGCGGCTGGAAATCTTGTCCAGAAAATCCCTTCGAGGTGCTGCAGTCAACAAAGGAACAAGTGCTGGTACCGTAATCCGAGCGACCTCTTGGCCCAGGCTACCTGCGAGGTGCTGCTGGACTCTGTGTCGGCTTCTCGCTCTCTGCCCTCTTGGTGGCTGAGTCTCTGCTTGGCCAGCTGCACTGAGGAGATGAGGTTATTGTTGTTGTTGAACTGCAAGGGATTGTGCTGTTGTTGTCGATGCTGACGAGGAAGAGTCGAGTGAGGACGCTGGAGTTTTGGAGGTCGAGGAGAGGAGAAGGATGCTCGGAGAGGAGGGTTAGGACGAGGGGCTGAGATCTGCCGTGCGTAGGAAGGCTGAAGCACAGCAGGAGGCTTCAAGTATTTCTGTACGTCCTGCGTCAGTTCGCGGATTATAATTCATGTTTGAAACATAGGATATATTAAGGCAGAAATTTTGATTGTAAACCAGACACTTCATTTGATATCAGTAAGGAACGTCAGATTATATTTTTAACGATCCAATTTAGCAACTCCTAGACCTCAGATCTAACCTATTGCAGAGTAATTAAATTTTTCGTAAGGTCATAGTTGTGGTGTGTTAATGAGAATGGACTTAAGAATGGACTTAATAAATTATATGTTTAGACTTAACGGGAAAAGCATTTTAATGGTTTTCAGGGACTTCTCATATCCAGAGTTAAAAAATGACGCTATGAACAGTAAGTCACTATAAATAATGAATAGTGATAAATAATATTTTTCATTGCAATAATAATAATTATTATTAATAATGATGAATAATAATTTTATTTGTGCTCTATTTAAGTGCCGCCAAATACTTGGCTTTGAGAGAGTTCACAGCCAAGAATGATATCAGTGTGTTGATCTATGGGAATGTTGATACATTACAACAAAAATTAAAACAACAGTTTTTAACAACAAACAACAATTAAACAACAGTGAATATTCTAGCTTTACAATGAAATAAGTGTTAGCCTTATAGTTCGGAGTATACATTTATACTCTTATTTAATAGCGCATGGAGTCTATGACCCGAGCAGCGTGCGATGGACTCAATAGAGAAATGCGTATAAGCCATCGCATGAGCGCACGTGCTCTGAATGAGCTCGCTGCACCGGTGCGCAGTGTGCCGGGAGTCTGTATTGAATCGAGAGCCTGCAAGGTGCTTCGAATACAAATATCTCCGCACAAAAGCCTTGTAAAAAGAAGCTCCAGCTCCCACTGGAGCAAGAATAGCAGCTAGGACTCGAGATGTGGGGTAGAATAGAGCACAGATAATGCGACCGACGGTTGGAAAAAAATATCGCTGGCACCAAAGAATCAGCAAACAACTTCAGGCGTTGGTTTTTTACCAAGTTTTTTTAGACAGATCTTGTTCTTCTTGGTATCTTTGTGAAGTCGAGTCAAGAAGATAAGAGGGATGATGCTGAAAATGCGATCTTTGCAGGAGAAAAATGCTAAGTAATGAGTGGGGGAGAGGGTAAAAATATGAGAGATCACTTCGGTGGGATTAGGAAAAATACTTCAAGTCCACCTGTAAAAGGGGAAGATGGGGAAACGACTGTATAGGCTGCGAATTTTAAGAGTTAAGTTGCCAAGACACTTACACTTTACCGCTTGTCTTCACTTCTCATCCAGTATATATTCACCATTTTTTCTTTGCCCGATCTTTGCATACGATCATACGACATCTGCTCTCGCCTCATGTTTTACGTTTTGTTTACTTTACGGTATATACAGCCTTTCTTTTCAAGCCCCTTTTCCCATTATCTTTGATATCCTCATGGGCCTTTTTTCTCCCCTCATGTGGTATTCTTTTCTTTCCTCTTCCTTCTCTCATCATCCACTTCACCCGTCATCTTCATCTCTATCTCATATGTCACATACGCGCCTCTTCTCGGCTTCCTTGGACGCTGGACATAAAATGCTGTTTAGGTTTAAACTAAGGTTATTAACTTCATAAAAATGAACCTCATATTTTTTGGACAATCTGCTCAAAGTGCGCTATGTTCCCCTATGAATTTTCTAATGACGATTGCTCATTTCAGAGATAATACTTCTGCTAATGGTTCGGCTATAGGAACATCTTGTACAATATTTCTATAGTACTTCCTCAGACGTTCTTAAACAGGTTTTCAAACTTGTACCAGGCATAGAGGGAATTTTTGTAACGATTCACCCATAAATATATAGGAATTCCTATATTTAAGCTGATAGACACACACAACTTAAAATTTGATCACATCTCATCATGTTCCCATCCTTGCAAGCAACATTTATGGTCATGATGCGACTTATGCTGAGTCATGACATTTATTCAGGCAGTTAACCAGCTTATCATTCCATATTCAAATGGAAATCATTAAGATTTTTAATTATTATTATTATGACAGTAATTGATTGACTATATGCCAATGTTTAAGCGGCTAGAAATGAACAAATAAACCATGTATAATTAACACAATTATGATACTTGCCAATCGTGAGAGAAGTGTGAGAAAGATTTACTGTAACAATGACGCGCATTATTTGTTAATGATCGGATATACATTCGAGAATAAATCTTGCCTTGAAAGATGTTGATTGGTCTTTGAACGTCTAGTTGCTCTCTTTTCACATCGAAGTAAGTAAGATTCACAATCGATCTTTTCTCGAATGAACATAAGAATTTAGTCCCATTTCTTCGCATCCGCAGCTGATTTATAAATAACATTAAATACAAATTTGGTTTTTGTTGAAACATGCAAATTTACGTTGCGCATGCAGGTGAGGCACACGAGTTAGAAGTCGAAATATTACTTTTTGATTGCCTTGATTCCACAACAGCGAGGTTTATTCTTCATTATATAGCTCACCCACCTTAAGGTTGACAACGTCGCGCTTCTCGCCGAAGGGTCCGGTGTAGACGTCGTGGCATCACCCACCTTTTGGTTGACAACGTCGCGCTTCTCGCCGAAGGGTCCGGTGTAGACGTCGTGGCATCACCCACCTTAAGGTTGACAACGTCGCGCTTCTCGCCGAAGGGTCCGGTGTAGACGTCGTGGCATCACTCACCTTAAGGTTGACAACGTCGCGCTTCTCGCCGAAGGGTTCGGTGTAGACGTCGTGCATCACCCACCTTAAGGTTGACAACGTCGCGCTTCTCGCCGAAGGGTCCGGTGTAGACGTCGTGCATCACTCACCTTAAGGTTGACAACGTCGCGCTTCTCGCCGAAGGGCCCGGTGTAGACGTCGTGGGTGATGTGTCCAGCCTTTTGTCGGCGAGCTCTCCAGCAGATAAGCAGGATGGCCGATAGCAGCAGGCATATGACAGCCACCAGCACGCCGATGATGAGAGCCACGTGCTCGTGGTTGCCAGCCCCGGCGCTCAGGTCTGTCACTACTGCCACAGAAATACCGTAGCAGTGTTACGATCATTCATCACGAGCGACCAAAACAGTTATACTGAAACCTAATATTTTTTTTGGACGGAAAATAAATTTTTTAGGACGAATTCATTAATTATAACTTTAGTTATGTATAACATCTTTCACTATTTCACTATTCATTTACTAAAAATTTTGCAAGTGGGTAACAGAGTCTTTCGGAAATTTCTCCGGCTTTTCACGAACCATAATTATTCACAGAACATTCGTCAATATTGACAAAGAAAATTTAATTTGTCCTAATTTTTTTCGTTAACAAATTTAACCCAGCGTGTTAACTCAGCAATTCGATGGTGTCTGCTGATCACCAGCTCAGATCTTAATCCCAGGCGCTGACATTCGTTCACGCTCGGCAATGCCACGGTAAATAATTAAACTGCGTCTGGCGCGTGTGTTCGGCATGACATAAAAATATAACTCAGTACTCACTGCAGTGCATGTCAGAGAGCGCATTTTCTCGTCGACGAAAACTTGAGGTCACGGACGGACAGACAGACGGACAGACAGATGGACGGACATGGCGAGCACAATAGTGCATTTTTTCCATAAATGAGAAAATGCCCTAAAAACTTCTTCTACGCGCATGACTTTTGCTCAATTTGATTGAGTGGTGAAAGCGGGATTCTCTTTTATCTTAAATACTCAAAAATCTCTCAGCGCCCAATATTTTCTGGCTTATCTTAAATATTTAGACAAAAACGCCATATGTTATGATGGAAAGAGAAAGTACTTTAAATTACTCTAGATAAGAAGAAATGAAACGTCAGCAATATGGAGTGGCGAGTTTTTCGTACATCTAAACTTGATAATGAATACCGACCTTCGAACCTTCCGACCTTCGAACCTTCCGACCTTCGAATATCCGACCTCTTGCGAACCTTCGTAAAATCAGAGTGGAATTTCGCTCGGAAAATTTGAATTTCCAAAACCTATTAAAAGTCTACTTAGCCGAATTGAGAAAAGAAATAAAAATTGAATGATCCATATAATCTACGTAGAGTCCTACATGATAGCTTAATTCAGTACCCCTACTATTTTTGCACGAATCTTTTTTTTTGTCCATGATTAGGAGAAAGAATTTTCAAGCAGCATTTAATTTGATTCTGTTATTCAGAATAAATTTCAATTATTTGTTATCATTAGGAATTAATGATAAATAATACTTATTAGTTATAAAAAGAACAATTTGTAGTAAAAATATTATAAGTTATCAATACTACAATCTTACCAAGGTTTTTATGGAGTGTCCCCCCGACGGGGGTGCCATCATGTAGGTAACCGCCCCCCGAACCTCGCGCGCTCCACCCTCCCCCCGCCACCTCCCGCTGCGCTGTGTCCGATTCCGTTTCTTCCGTGAAGTTTCCCGTGGCGATGGCTGAGAAATTGGAAATTGATTTTTTTATTGAACTATTCATAATAATATATCTCATATAATAATCATTTCTAGAGTTGAATGATAAAATGCACATGTTTATTACATTATTATTATAATTGAAATGGAAAAAATATGTTTGAATGACGATATTTTTCACGTGAGTTATCACAACCACTTAGGCATTCGGACTTTTGAAGTGTATCCAAGGGTTGTTTAGGTATTCAAATTTACTCAACATCAACAATAAAATTAGTATTTGCGTGGTAGACGTCGTGATAGACGTCGTGCGTCCTTAACTTACACCGACTAACACACTGAACGTAAACCCCCCACAGTCCTTATTGTTTTTTAACTCTAAAGTGCTAAAAACCGCATCGATTATTTAAATTTTCGAATTTACTTTACAACAGCAATAAATTTTTTTCGAGGCATATATAAACAAACACTGACTATCATACTGAACGTGAATCTCTACACTAATTATTGTTCTCTGAAGTCCTAAAAACCGCATGGAAAGTCTAATTGACCAAATAATATATGTTATAATAACACTGGTATTACCATTGCCTCACTTGAATTAAAGTAGACCTCGGAGGGAAAGTCCTATAGATCAAATAATATATGTTATAATAATTCTGATATCACCATTGCCTCACTTGAATTAAAGTAGACCTCGGACACAAGGATCCACTTGTCGGCGAAGAAGAGCTGCAGTTTGACGTACTTAGCGACAGCCCCGCGCAGCGCGACGCTCACGTTACGTGCGTACTCGCTCACCGGGTCCGGCATGTAGCGGTACACATGCGGGCCTCCGAGGTACTGCTGTCCTCCAACGCTCAGCCACACCCGCGCCTCCGAGAACACCTGTTGAATACCACAACGATGATGATAGTGGCGATAGTTAGTGATGAAAGTAAATTAAATTATCATTTTTATGTAGCGGTACACGTGCGGGCCTCCGAGGTACTGGTGGCCTCCAACGCTCATCCACACCCGCGCCTCCGAGAACACCTGTTGAATAGTGATAGTGATGATAGTGATGGCAGTAAATTAAATTATCATTTTTCAAATTAGGTTAGGTTAATTAGTAAATTAGGTGATCATTTTCCATGTAGCGGTACTGCGGTACACCAGCGGGCCTCCGAGGTACTGCTGACCTCCAACGCTCAGCCACACCCGCGCCTCCGAGAACACCTGTTGAATAGAACAATGATGATGGTAGCTAGTGATTAACATTAATTTAATCATTATCTTCCATGTATCGGTACGTGAGAAGACGTCCGAGGTACTGGTGCCTTCCAACGCTCAGCCACACCAGTACCTCCGTGAACACTTGTTGACTACAGAAATGCTGTTGAAGATTATGATTATGGGTTAATGATGAACAGAATTTTTATTGATAGTGCAAAAGGAAGCACAAACAGGTGTTCAGAAGCACATGCGGGCCTCTGAGAACACCTGTCGATCAAAGCAATGATTTTGACGATAGGGTTCTTAATTTACGCTGGTTTGATTGAAGACAAGAGAATGCTTTTTATGAACAATTTATTATTATTTTTTTTCAATAAGCCGAACAAAATTTCGTGCTGGCGCTGGGAGATGAAAGAGCAGGTTACCAAAAGACATTTCACTGGAATACGACGTTTTGAATATTCAATCTCAATAGGTGGAGAGTTTTAATACACATAAAATTTTGAAATGACGTAAATACATACAAAAGGAATCGTATACACGGTTCGAAATCAAAACTTGAAACTAATCTGGGAACAACTTCAACTTCCTGACAAATCCAGGTGTTTGCAAATTGATAGCTCGAGACTCGTCTTTGATGAGTGGAGACTGATCCTTGATGAGTCTCAAGAGAACTGAGTCAAGAGACTGCTTGAAAAGAACTGCTTGAAGAGACAAAATTTAAATAATAACTGCTTTGCGTAAGTGAATAAGAAGGAATTCAGTGGTTTTAAATGTATGAATATTCATAAATTGCGTGAACTCATTTAGGGGCAGCCATTGGATTATTATAATCTCGGTTCGAAAGATTTAATCATTTTCCAGACGGTTACAGACACCACGGTTGTAATTTATTGGAGTAAGTTTAATTAATGATCTAGGTAAATGTTTCGGATGTAGCAATCGAATGCAACTCTGGAACGCTGCCTCATTTTTACGCCGTCTTGAGCCCTGGCAGTTCTGACATGCTCGCCTCCAGGACCCCGAGGGGCAGTACAAGATAACTCCCGCTCATCCGCCCTCAGTAGGGTCAGCTGATGCACCGATGGTGTGGCTTGTTTCTTGCAAACTGTGGTGGCAGAGAGGCGGATGATGTGAGAGATAGTGTCTAAGAGCATATGCGGTCACTTCCTGAAGGTCTCTATGTAGGATGACCTCCTCCGCTATGCTCAATGTGAGGCATTAAATATCCAAAGGTCCCGCTACGGAAAGGGATCCTTCACGCAGAGATTGAAGACTGACCACATCTATGTTGCGTCATGCATACCTGCAAATTTTTTGCCTTCTATCGCTGGGCTATGTGAAAATCCTAATGGTCGAACCGTCAAAACTAGGGATCGGTCAGATTATGATCTTCCTTGTGTACAGAATAAAAACTTATTCTGTCTTGTTTACAGCGATAACAGACCCAACTGCTTCAGCGTCAGCCTCTCAACTCTTGCTTGGGTCGAAAATATAAATAAAATTTCCCAACCCGAATAACTAATCAAATTTTTTTGTTGAAAAACTTGTACATGGATGTTACCATGCAGAAAAATTGCAATATTTGCTGTTTTATTTGACCGCTTGTGTATATATTGAAAGAACTAATCTTGTGGACCAGAAAAAAACTACGCCTCAGTTGAAAAAAGTATTAAAATCCCCGAAATTACATTGATTGGATTACATCGAGCACCTCGTAACTTTTTCAATGATAGAAAGGAGTAAAATCCTGAAAAAAACTCTAAATTTAAATAATGAAGATTGAAGGTACGCACGTCTAGCAAATTCTGTACCTTGCGACCCCGACGCAGCTTTATGGATATTAGTCTTGAAATATTAGCGGTACCTTACAGCGTCTGAAATATTACCTAAGGGCTAATAAGAGGATGAAATATTGAAGCTGACGCTCTAATCGCATCCTAAGCAAGATGAAGAACACCAATTACAATTAAAAAGTGATGATCAGCGACGCAGGCTGAAGCCAGGTGCTTCCAGTGATTGATTGCTTGTATAAATACAAGTAAAATATACCGCTGGCTTGCATGTTCAATTATAAGCGAAATAAGCTGTCACATTAATATCGGGAAGCGGTCTCGACGCTGCGAGACTCCGTATTAATTATGCATCAGTGTTCCCTACAGGAGCTTGATCCGGGATTTATTCTTCAATCTGGTATTTGCATTGAGCTTTTGAATTTAAATAGAACATGAAATAAGTGTAGAAATATATGTAATAGAAAGTTTTTGTATTAAATCTTGTAGTAAAATGATAAAAAACTAATCAGACTTAGAAAACACATAATACCAATCAATCGAAGGAATAGACAATATTAGGTCTAGAATATTAGAAGGAATACACAATTTTTAGATTTGACGCTGCAAGTAATTTCAATCTAATTTTTGCTGTACTTGTCATTTTTGCTTGTGTAATTTTTATTGATTCAACTTGTGCCCGAGATTCATGCCGGATAAATTTTCGAGTCCGCAGCTCATTCGTATTCGCATTCCAGGCAACTGTCCTGAGAAATTCCAATTGAAAATTCCATCAATAAAATATTCAGTAAAATTTAGTATGCTGATATTTTTTCACTACTCCTCTTGTACAGAACTCATTAAGTGAGATCATCGTATAGGAAACCTTGACATTATTTAAACTATTGATTTGAGAGCTTAACATTTCTGTTTTTTCCAGCTTCATCGGAATTACCAACAGCCTTGTGTCACTCACTAGGATCAAGGCAATGATGGCGGAACTTTCTCGACGTTATCCATTATTTTACTCGAGAGAAATTAGTGTGGTTACTAATCATCAATAGATTTATTTAATAAATAAATGGATTATATCATTCTCATGGCTAGTTAAATCATTTCTTTAGTTTGAGACTCGAATTAATTAAAAGCCATTATTTAATTAATGCTCTAAAACTTGTGTGATCTCAGATGCACGATTATTTTTCAAGTAACAGTTTCAGAAATCCATGACATCGCAGTAGCTTCTTTGGCACGCAAAAGTTCCATTGTAATTTGGAACGTGAATGCATGCTACTGACGGAAACTCCATTATAATCTGACAGCTTATACTCATATTTTACTACAGACAAGTTTTATAGGCTTCTTCACCATGAATTTTTCCGCTCTGTGCAAGAGATTGGACGCCTTATTTCCATAAGCGAGTGTGATTAGATATACTTCTGCAGCCGTAAATTTTTTGAGTCGTCTTCAGAACTAATTACTGAATATTTTCCTATTTTAAAGTAGGCAAGGCCGAGATGGATAGAAATTTGTATCAATTTGCATGGGTTGCGACTGGTGCGACAGCACATTGCCCGCACTGGTAAGAGAATATTCCTCTACCTAGATTATTAACCTTAAATATTGACCTATTTTCTTATATTTTGTTGAAATATTATGCTTGTATTAACCATATTATATTTTTGTATAGTTTACAATTTTTTCAATTGTATGTTTTTAGAAACCGTTTGCGGTATGTTCAATCAAATGAAGAAATTCGCAGAAGAATTTGACAACCTGCGACGAGTTTATTCAACAGTGACGGAAAGTGACGCGAAAAACGGCTAATAAAAATTGCAGAATTTTTCTAATTCTGAGTAGGAATTAAAAATGAGCTTAAATTAAGAGAGCCAACTACGTGCGTCAAATATAAAAACCAATCAAAATAGTAGATTAATTAAAATCATGTACGCAAGTCTCAAGTGGAAAAAAATTCACCCGTGTTCAACAAACGTACCGGCACCGAAAAATTGACACACACATAACACGTTATCGTATTCAGCAGCTACAGCGCATGCCTCGACACGTAGCGCTGGCCCTGGAAAGCTCGGCATCAATAGCCGTCATTGCACTTGCAAATTACCTATAGTATTAGTGATTCTGAGAGGCATATGGCCTGACTTATTAGATTGAACCAGGGGTTATTACATTTATGCACCTCTAGGAAATTCAGCATCGCAAATCCATAGATCTGAGAGACGGTGGGGAAAAATTGCGATCAAGTGTTTTATTTCAGAAGTAAGTGAAATAATTTTAACCGAAGAAAAGTTACATTATTGAGATCGCGCACTGAGCAAGAGTGTTGAGTGGGAAATCAGAAGGCACACACATGTGTTAATAGCCCATAAAACAGAAGGCACATACATGTATTAATAGCCTATATATAAGAAGACACACACATGTATTAATAGCCCATAAAACAGAAGGCACACACATGTATTAATAGCCCATAAAACAGAAGGCACACACATGTATTAACAGCCCATAAAACAGAAGGCACATACATGTATTAATAGCCCATAAAACAGAAGACACACACACATGTATTAATAGTCCATAAAACAGAAGGCACACACATGTATTAATAGCCCATAAATCAGAAGGCACACACATGTATTAATAGCCCATAAATCAGAAGGCACACGCATGTATTAATAGCCCATAAATTATAAAGCACACACATATTAATAGACTATAAATTATAAAGCACACACATGTATTACTAGCTCATAAAAAAGAAGGCACACACCTATATTAATAGCCTATATATCAGAAGGCACACAATTGTATTAATAGCCAATAAATCAGAAGGCACACACATATTAATAGACTATAAATAAGAAGGAACACACATATGTATTAATAGCCCATAAATCAGATGGCACACACATCTATTAATAGCCAATACAGTATATCAAAAGGCACACGCTTGTATTAATAGCCAATAAATCAGAAGGCACATACATATTAATAGACTATAAATAAGAAGACGCACATATTAATAGACTATAAATAAGAAGACGCACATGTAATACCAGCTCATAAACAAAGCTCAATATTATAGAAGAGCCAAGCGCAGGTGGGAACACAAGTCTACGGAGGGCGCCGCCGACATTGGGTCGTAAGCTCGCGGATAATGTGAACGTCTCGGCGGCAAAAAGCTTCCATAAAAATGTCTCAAGGGGCCTAAGGGCCCCTCACAAAACCTTCTGATGAACGGCCTAATTAAAATAAAGGGGCAAAATTCGCCTGAAATAAGACGATTCCATGCCGAATGGTGTTGACAAAAAACTCAAAGATAAAGGTGCGATGAGCCAGACAAGAAACAAAAGGGAATTGATTTTAAAATGCTGTCTTGGAATTAACACTCTAGAAATCTTTAAGATGGATGTATTTGCAACGTATACTTCGCCTTCAAGTCAAATACTGTGACAGAAGATGTAAATGTCGAAAAACATCACAGGATTTGAAATTTTATTTATGTGTTCTTGCACATTGCCAATACCTCATGCATAGAAATGGAACTTTCAAGTTTATTTCAGAAGCAAATATGAATTATCAATGAGAAATCAATCATGATTACCGTTTTGCGACCAGCGACCTCTACTTTGCTGGTCCACTTTTTAGCTGTGAATTTTTTAATGCGAGATAATGTGGCAAATTGTAATGAAAAAAAGCACCGGCTTCTCTGCTCAGGTTTTTGCAAATTCGAATTTCAAAGAATTTTAGTTGCCGAAATAAATACAAATTAGTTACCGATCAAAATACTTGTTGATGCTCATTACATAGCAAACTATGGCCTAATTTTTGGACTGGGAAGAAAACAATCATATTCCTAAACGGAAATACCATCTTCCTGATAAAGACAAATAATAAATTCAGAGTTCAATTTGATCGAAATAGAATAATTTTATTTAGTGAAATAGTTGAATAGAAGTAGACTTAAAGTCTTATACAGTCCTGTATAATATTCGACTCTTCTTAGTTGTGTAAAAAAATATGTGGCACTGTGAAGAGCTGCCTTTCTTTGAAAGTTAGAAACAGAAAACACGGATACCGCATAAAAACGGCGAGTCTACCGAGAGGGTTGTGGCAATTTGGCCATAAGTTGGGTAAGTTTTTAAGGCTGTCAAGAAGTTTTAGCGTTTGAGTGTTTGTTGATTGGACGCCGTCGATCAGAAAAGCAGCGAACTGAGTAGCCCTTCAGACCAACTTTCTCCCTTCACCGCCACAACTACGCAGCTTACGTTTGTTTTGCTCCGCGGTGCCAACGCCGAGCAGAGAGAACATGTGATTCGCAGTATACTGTATTGCTATTGTGCCAGTGTAGGATATTGTTGTGATGCCAGTATACTGTATTGCTATTGTGCCAGTGTACGATATTGTTGTGGTTCCTATATACTGTATTACTGTGGTGCCGGTAAACTGTATTGTTGCGATGCCGGTATAATGTATTGTTATTGTGCCAGAGTAGGATATTGTTGTGGTGCCGGTATACTGCATTGTTGTGGCGCTGGTATAATGTATTGTTGTGGTGCCGTTATACTGTATTGTTTCGGTGCCGGTATACTGTATTGTTGTGGTGCCGGTATACTGTATTGTTGTGGTGCCGGTATTCTGTATCACTGCTAATTCGTTATGCTGTGGTGCAAGTATATAATAAAAGTAGCAGCATACTTCAAGTTACTGTGAATGACTTAACCTTCTAAGGCCTGACACGAGTAACCGCAGCAATAATGTCACAAGACTACTTCCCAAAAAGGATACGTTCTAGTGAGCGCAAAATGACTTGCACTGATGGTTGTCGATACATACGAGAACTTTAAAATGTTCTCAGTTGCGTACAAACGTCCTCAGGTTGCTAACATGATAACATCAATAGTTTATGTATAATTAAAATTGAAAGTTATATGTTCCCGAAGACTTACATACGGCGGTAGAGGGTTAAGTGACTCAACTCCCGTAAAATCGCATCTGCGAAGAAAATCGCTGCAATTCTGTGACCGAACGGAAAAATTAAATTGAACCGTGATTATTAGCCTCTATACTACAGGGATTACAAATAGAACAGGACTCCTGAGCACAATACATATTGTATTAAACTGGCTTGAATTTATTTAGGACGCCGAACATGAAGCAGGTCATAAAGTCGATTTCTGAATTGCGTTTGTAAATCAGCGAGCTGCTCAGCGTAATGTCTTAAGAGTGGCGCGGGAAATGTCATTGAATAAATACAAATGAGTGTCCACGCTTATGAGGAGGAATGAAGTGAAAAATTGTCTTCCCTAAACGAAGAAGGGAATTCGCTGAACATGTTGACCACGTCACTAACCTGCACGTCTTTGCTGAATATGTTAACTACGTCACTGACCTGCACGTCTCTGCTGAACATGTGACAACGTCACTGACCTTCACGTCTTTGCTGAACATGTTAACTACGTCACTGACCTGCACGTCTTTGCTGAACATGTGACAACGTCACTGACTTGCACGTCTTTGCTGAACATGTTGACCACGTCACTGACCTGCACGTCTTTGCTGAACATGTTAACCACGTCACTGACCTGCACGTCTTTGCTGAACATGTTAACCACGTCACGGACCTGCACGTCTTTGCTGAACATGTTGTTCGTGAAGACATAGACGTGCGAGAAATTGCGCACAGTCTCGAACTCGAAAACAAGTTCCACAGGTCGCTCTGTATCGTTGCGCCAACCAACCCACTCGAAGCCTGCGACGAGGCACCAGACGTAAAATAATAAGTTAATCAATCAAGAGATAATCAATCAATAATCAAACTCTATTTATGAATCAAGAGATGTACATTTTAGTTTATTTTAGATGAATCTAATTAACCAAAAACTTAAAAGCAAAGAAAACTCCACAAAAATTTAATTGAATGGATTCCTAAAATGTCGTTGTTTTCGACTTCTAATAGTTTAACATGCACTCGTTTTTTCACAGCAAATTTGTATTAATTGTGGATAGCGAACCCTAATTGAGGAATAACTTTCGCACAAAGAAACAATTGATTTTATAAATGAAAAAAATTGGGTTATTTTTATAGATTCTCATAACACAACAAAAATATTTCGTTTTTGTAATGATTTATTCGAATCGCTAAATATACGGTCACTTCTAATGCCTTGGATGAGCCATTGCCTGCTAATAAAATTAAATTAAAAATTATTTGCATTCTAAATAAATTAGTCGCGCAGTAGCCTAGATTTGTATTATCAGGTAAATAACCTGAATTATGAAAGATTTATACAAATTACCGATTAGTATGCAATCTCTAAGTGTGTTTCAGTTCAGTTTATATAATAACTGTCATGTAAAGTTGTTGTTTTACGTAATAACTGTCATGTAAAGTTGTTGTTTTACATAAATGTCATATAAAGTTGATGTTTTACATAACAACTGTCATATAAAGTTGAGGTTTTACGTAACAACTGTCATCTAAAGTTGCTGTTTTACATAACTGTCATATAAAGTTGAGGTTTTACATAACAACTGTCATCTAAAGTTGCTGTTTTACATAACAACTATCATATAAAGTTGCTGTTTTACATAACAACTGTCATCTAAAGTTGCTGTTTTACATAACAACTGTCATATAAAGTTGTTGATTTACATAACTGTCATTTAAAGTTGTTGTTTTACATAACTGTCATTTAAAGTTGTTGTTTTACATAACAACTGTTATCTAAAGTTGTTGTTATACATATCTGTCATATAAAGTTGTTGTTTTACATAACAATTATCATGTAAAGTAGTTTTTTTTACACAATAACTCCTACCTTTCCCGTGTCCCAAGTCTGAGCGGAAGTTATGTGCCCCGGCCACACCGTCCGTAAGTTGTCCTACGCCCCCGAAGAGCCTGCCGTCAGAGACGCTGCCGTCGTACGTAGCGTCCTGCAGCAGCAGCTCCGTTCCGCGGTCCGAGCCTTGCTGCCCGGAGTACGACAACACGCCCTCTGCCGAACATGTTAAACGAATTAAATGTAATAATTAAGATTTCAACGGCGAAATAACATAAAGTCATTTTAATAGTCATTAGAGAGGACATGGAATACCTTCTAACGAAAAATAGCGTAGATATTTGTCCGCCGAAATAACTCTCGAAATGGAAAATATTTTCCAAAAATAACCGTCTAGACATTATTGACATTCTATGATATACGTGAATGTGTTCCAGTTCAGCTATCACACACATAAAGCAACTGATGTTCGAATCGGGATTTGTATTTAATATCTCACTTGGACATTTTATCTCTCTATTAGCAGGATTTCAGGCAAATTATCTTTGATCAGCACCGTTGCGCTCTTCAAACATTGAGTACAGGTTGAGTAATCGCTATATTCACTATCGAGTACATAAGTAATTCATTCCTAAAATTGAACTATTAATACAAATACCGCAATATTGTGAAAAAAGGAAATCGACATATGCTGAAATGAGATATTATTTATTCGACTCATTTTTAACCGAAATTGCGATGGTAGGATTTCTCATTAAATTATTATGCATTGAAGACTGAGATTGCAGCGAATTATACACTGATTTGTTATTTAGCAAAAGATTAATTGGTATCTCATATCTTTGAGATTTCGATTACGCAGAAATTTTTGCATTGCGACAAACAAATTATTATGAAAATATTTTCTCTTTATGTCTACTGACATTGAAACTTATGAATAAATAATAAAATATATTTTATTTATGGTCGACTTTCATTTCAGTCTAATTGTGTTCCACTCAATGGTTAAGTTGGTTTCTCAGTCTCTATCATATACTGTATAATCAATCAATCTCCTGTTATTCATTGTAAACAAACCACACAAATGATTAAAAGATATTGCGACATGAAATCCCTACAGAATTTCTTTAATGCCGTCAAAGTGCAAAAAATTTGCCCTTTATTACGGTATATCGCATTCTTTGTTCAAATTGTCCAACAATACACATATATACAAATTTCTGTCTACCGTAAAAAAAATTCAAGCTGAAAGTGAAAAGAAATTATTCGACCTTGATCGTGACTTTATCGTAAAGATTATTGTTTGGCGGGGAAATTTTAGGGTAAAATTATAATTTTTTATATTTTTACATAAATGCCAATGATTTACACTCCCAAATTTTTACTATACACAAATTTTGAAATTAATATAAGTTGAATGCAATCTTAATTAAATAAGAACTTTCAGTATTCAATAATCGTTTCACTCACTATTTTTTGTAACACAACGCTAAATAAAATGTTATATAACTCAAGCGAACATCGTCCATTACTTGTCAACGATTTTCGAATCAATCATAACATAACATAACATAGCGATGTCGGCGCTGAAGTGTAGGCCTGATGTGGCCTGTCGCCGATTCTTTTCCTTTTCGTGCCTAATCATCCAAATTTCTGTGATATCAAATGTCTGAAAATAATAATTATTATTCATTCCATTATTATTTGCTTTCATCTCCTTTTGTATTCTTTATTTCTGCTAACTATCATGCGGTGGAATTGAATTAATTGTAGCCTCCTTTTGACATTTAGTTATCGTTACATAACGTTGAATTTTTCGTACTTGCTCAAATTAATCTCAATTGAGCTTTCGTTTCTTAACCGAACGTCGTGATTGTTGTGAACTATTTGCATCTGCTTTTCTATATAGGGACGAGAAGATAAGAATTTGCAATGCGCATACCAGAACCAAGATTGGTCGTTGAAAATATATGTCAGTTAATTGTATAATCGCTTTTATGTTTTCATTCATCAGTGGACCAGGTTCACTTATTAGGCTAAAAGACCAGTCTGAAATAATTCAATCATAGAAAATGTGTCAGTATTATAAATTAATAAATTAATGCGCATCTGGTTTGTTTTTGTGGATATTTCAGATTACACTATTATAAAATATTTCCATTGAATTAAAAATTAAATTTATACAACACCGGCAGGGTTAAAACCGCGACCAATATTTCTTTGACGTCGAATATTTTATGTTCGTTGGAACCGTGAGCCTAGCACGCCAAGGTAAAGGAACCCCTCGAGGCTATTGTTATTATTCAGTTGCCAGGGGTTGTATTTACTACAAAGAGTGGCGGGCTGGAGGCGTGGCTGTTTTAACAAGCTAAAGCTATTATAGGTTCCAGATTGGAGACTGCAAATCTCCTTAAGGAAGAACCCAATAGCTTACAGTGGAGGTGTTTCCGTACCACGTTCGCTTGAGTGAACACATGAGACGAGGACAAGAGCGGGGCAAAAATTGGGGTGTGAATAATCGGGACAAAAATTTTAATACACACATGATTGATGCATAGTATGAAAATTATTTATTGCTATTTACCATTCTCAGGATCCGCTTGGGAACTCTCTCCGACGAGTTCTATGTATTATTTTATTAAATGCATTCCAAATTTCAACTTGCACGTATTGATGTTTAAAAATTGTAAAGTTGTTTCTCTTTAAAAGTTTAAAGATGTTATTCCTGCCCAGATGTGATCCTAGTTCATGTGTAGCTTATCCGCGAGCATCAGAATGACGTTGCATAACTACTGCATTAGATTAGAAGAACACCTGGGCATGAATGAATTTCTAGAAAAATGACATTTTCTTGAAAAAATAGTCGCCCATCCGCCTTATTCTGTTACACGCATTCAAACCAAACGTACAAGCCGTGATTTTAATATTGTAGACTTAATATTTTTCCACCTCTTTTGCTATGCTTCAGATATAAGAATCTCTACATGTTTTGAATCTTTACATGTTTTAAACGAAAGCGTTGACTTATGGTTCTCATCCATTCGAAATTTTTAATCAATAGATATTCACGTTAGCTCGCGTGATGATCACGATATTTACGTTTAATATCTCCCATGTAGATGTTATAGCTCTGTTATTTATACTTTCAGTATTTTTGAATTTACGAATGAGGAAGCTCGATTCGTATAAATAATTGATCAGAGAAACCGAGAGAAACGAAAATGTGTGTGCATGTGAACAATCTTCAAACGAAAACATTTAAAAGCATAATTAGGGAACTCTGTACATGAACACATTTTGCGAAATAGATTTACTCGTTAAACGAAAACATTTATGCATAATGAGGAAACTATGTACATTAACACATTTTTCCAGATAAATTTACCTACGAATATATTGTGAATTTTTTCACGATAACAAAGTTACGTACCGTGGTATGGACAGCCATGTATCTCGACGCGCATGCACACTGTGCGCTGATGGTCGCTGTGCGGTACGAAGCGAAGTTTCGTGGCCAGGATGGGCGGGTTGAGGTCGCGGCGCTCGGGCGAGTACGTGTTGACGTTCCCTTCAAGAATCTGTCATTTTGATCACTTACTGCAATAATATTACTTATGATAAGAAAACTCATACAACTTGAAATGAAAATAAATAAAGTTTTTCATCAGTCTTGCAAGCTAGCAGTTGAGTAAACACACGCGAATAGAACGTGAATATCGATGGAGCGTAAATAAGAGCTTCGTTCATAATGGGGCGTTCGTTCTTCGGGAAACATAATGAAATGGATTTATATTCATTCTAGTTTAGAAAATAATTGGATGCAATTAAACAAAGATATGGTATATCCGATTAATACAAGAAAGAGATCCGTCCAGTGGAAGTGGCCAGGTCAGCTCAAGGAAAAGCACTTCTGCTGTAAATTCGGGAAATTTGTTAACTTAATTAACTACCGTTATTTACACACGAGTCACCACTCGGCAGATACCACTCCCAGCTCACCACTTATCAAAATGAACCAATAATGCTGGTCAGAAATACGATTTGCGTGGTTCGCCTACTTCATAATAACTACGGAGTATAACAGATCTCGCTAAAAGTTGAGGTTCGATTTTATTCATAAAATAACTTATTTATATCAATGGCCGGCGACAAAAATACTACCGCGAGTTAAGAGAAATTTATGATATTTTTTGAGAAAATCTACTGTTGAAGCCAGGTAATGATGCACTACAAGCAAAATAAGCAGCGTGACTATACAAAATTTATTGAGAAAAATCCTGTTCATGGATGCCCAACAACGTCGACTGCCACAAATCATGTATAATGTAGAATATTCCGTAAAAAGCTGCTCCAGCATGTACAAATTAAATGAGATATTCCTCAAAACAAATATAAAAGTTAATACAATGAGCAAAAACAAACACTAAAAACTTAAAACTTGTTTTTGAGCAAAAGAAGTTTCAGAAGATTACGTAATACGAATACCAAAAGCAATGAGCAAAGTTGTGAGGCTCGGAGAAACGCCTGAATTTCGATGCCTTGGGCACGGCTAGCAAGCTTCGGTGGAGGCGCGCTCTATGCAGCTAAACTTATGGTCTCGAGATGAAAAGTGTCTCGCAGGAACGTGTCTCGCGAACAAAGCGAGAGATGCGCCTGGAAAACCAGCCCAAAATTGAAGATTTTTCAAATCTGTTGTGAGGAATGAGGCCTATTCTGATACCATTATTAAACATGCCTGGGTTAAAGAAAACATCGTTCTTCACTAGAACTGTTTTGAAATAAATTTCATGAAAATAATGAAGATTTCAAAAAGCAAGTACTAAAACCTCATGCCAATAAATATTTAGAAAATAATATGTTTACATGGAAATTTTATTATGTTACTGTTTTATTCTCATTATTGAAATTAATTTTTAGTGCGCATCAGAAATGATCCTCGGTCAGTGCATTACAAGAACAACTTCCGTACGCGCAGTTGAGAAATTTATTTAACTTTAAATTCATGAAAAATTAGATGTCCATCATGTAAACAGCTTCATGGACATGACATGTCCATCAGATAGGCTTGCTCGAGTTTACTTAAGCTCACACTAAAGACGATCAAAATATTTCGCAACTGTCCACCGTACTTGAGATTCATGTAGGAATACGAGTCAGTGTAGAGTTATTTATTTCTCTGTTGTAGCACCGTACTTGAGATTCACGCAAGAATATGAGTCAGTGTAGACGGAAATATTTCTCTGTTGTAGCACCGTACTTGAGATTAAAGACAGCATTAGTCAGAGTTTCGACAGGCAATATCTTCAGAGACACGTGTCTATGAATAATATCAAAGCGGGAGGCTGGGCTGAAGGCGTTTTCGACGGCCCCTTAAAACCTTGTTAAGATTCAAGTTTTTTTCTTGTGGTTTGGCTTTGGTTTCTTGTATTTTTTATTCATTCGGGCCCACAGTATGGAGGGGTTCAGATCAGCAGAGGGTGTCGGAGGATAAATACGTCAGGTCGGAAGTAGAGGAAGTGGAGAAAGAAAGACGAAGAATTAATGCAGAAAACTTCTTCGACGAAAAATTAATGCTGAAAATTAAGTATCCAAATCACAAAGAAAGTGATTTCAGCTCGAATGTTCTAATCAGTCAATGATATAAAACTCGTTAGTTTAAATTAATAACTTCACTTACGAATTAACAGACCTTTAATTTTATTGAACGAATTTTGAGGAAAGAAAAGTTTAATGAGGACATCTAATGCATCTAAGAAGTTAAGAGAAAACAACTCTACTGGCAGGCGTGNATGTGTATAAGAGACATGGATGATATTCTGACGGTGGATGATATTCTGACGGTGGATGATATTCTGACGGTGGATGATATTCTGACGGTGGATGATATTCTGGCGGTGGATGATATTCTGGCGGTGGATGATATTCTGGCGGTGGATATTCTTTAATGAGATTGAAGCATACTCGCGGCGTGCATCCACGACCATCAACAAAGGCTCTGAACGGTTCGATCCACGCTGAACATGAGCACAACCTGGCATTACCAAATCATAATTCACCAATTATGAGTTGATAATAATAATAAATAATAAATTTTCCACATTATTTATCTCACTTTCATTTAATGGGATTTGAATTATTTTGTTAATAAAGTAGAGATAAAACAACCCAAACTGTATCAAGTTTTTGACATAATCCATTTAGTCGATACGTTTACTTTTCACCATCCTTTATGAGACAAGAAATGACAACCTTTTGTTGTCAAATGATTCGGTTGAATAAATAGCTATTTATTAAAACTTTATCAATTTTTATTCGATATTATTATACAGTAGCAAAAATGTTGAATATTAATAATCTTTCCGAAGCCCTTATTTCCGCACTATAATATTATTGATTACTACATTACACTGCAAGCCCAGGACACAACTGCTCGTTGTATTGGTTTTAACTTAAAAAGCTCAACCATATAGAAAAACCATAACTACGTTTTTCCATACAAAACCTGCGGCGTCCGAGTAGAACAAGGACACCTTGTCCTATTAAATATTCCAATATTGGGGTTGAAAAAGGCATAGGAAAGCCATGGATATTTGCATGGACAAAATTGTTCTGCCAATACATCTATATGATGGATGGCCGTAGCAACAAGACGGCTCAGAAATTGTTTGGTGGTAGCACACATGCACGTATGAAGGGAAAACACCAATAACTTTCATTTCGAAGTTCCTTTGACAAGAGATATAGCTGGTCATTTACCTAAATTATTCACTGCTTTCAACAACAAACCATTTCGAGCAATATTTTAGTATGATATTGATTTTTGCTAAAACGTGAAACTGAATTCTCCCCTGCCATCATGAATAAAAGTTTTCTATACAATCTTCCTCGCTGATTGATTTTTTCATCGCTTCTGTGAAAAATAAAATTTGAGCCTTGATGAACATTTGTAAAATTGTGCCACTGTTCGGAAAAAAAATTTCAAACTCATAATTTCCGTTATGTTGACTAATACAAAATATTACAGCTCGGCGACTCACAATTAAACGAATTTACAGATTTTTAGATTACACGTCAAACTAAGTTATTGATTGGCCACAATAAATACCACTGTTCACATTATGAAATCTAGTTCAATATTATGATCTTATGATATGTTGAGTGCCAACGATTGAAATCGCTAGTCTTCATGTAGTGCCGCTGCAAATTTTTGAAGGCGATCATCTGTTCAAGGGCATAAATATCGTTCACTACCATATTCATAAATGAAGTTGTTGTTTAAAGAAATTTGTCTACAAAAGCAGGGCAAACGTGATAGTATAAATATTTTTTTTGTTTAATTTGTCATACGAAGAGGATTACACTCTGTCCCAGAGTTTGAAAATATAACCAAAGCCTTCATTACAGCTATTGCTTGACTCCCCGCTTTATTGCCCTCGTGAGCCTTGAATCATAAGACAAGCTAAAAATAAACCATTAACTATTTTTCAATCAATAATAAAGGAATCAAGTTTTCAGTTAAGAAAGCAGGTAAAGGCGAAATTTCACATAACATTATTCGATTCATCAACCATATCATTGATCTATGTAGAGTTTGGCTACCAATTGTTCGAAATAAATCAGTTTACAATATAAAATCCCAATTTTTTAAATACCGATACCATCAAAGTATTAGAACAATAATCTTGATGATTTGCCGCGCATAAGTCATGCAACATTCACTGAAACTTTGCAAATTGTGCTCTAAATTTTGAAAACCCATTAAATAAATTTACTCAGCAAGACTCATTAATGACTAATTAAATGGCGCATCACTATTGTGTTCATTGCAGGCCATCATCATCCTGTAGCTAAGAGACCTGTTGAACAGAACGCCAACAGAGCGCATCCCTGAATATTCAGTAGCCCTTACATTGGATTCGTTAAAACCTGAGAACTTGTCAATACCTGGGGACTGTACAATAGTTGAGGTAAAATCAATACCTGTGGACTGTACAATATCTGTGGACTCGGCAATACCCACGGACTGATCATATAAAATATTACGACCTTCTAGTTATTCAATTTACGACTGTCAATCCAATTCAGGTCGAAGTTTAAATTATACTTTTTAAATGATAATCCACAATGGTTTTCGTGTCAATTCAATCATTTTATTTGTAACGAAGTGCAAAACGTGTTTATTACTCTACGGGTTTTAATCCGAAGATTTAACTTATTTTATTATTTTAAGCACGAGAATGTAGAGCTGCAACAATTGTTATTTATTCAGTCTAATATGTGAACAATATGTTATAGATTTATGGGGAAAATAAAAGAATTCTCGATTATATTGTTCAAGCACCACAGAATCAAAATGTTTCTTTTTTTTGCATTAGATTTGATTAGTGCTCGAGAAGTGTATAATTAAAATTAACTGAAATTACATTCAATTCAGCTATAATTGTTATGTGAAATTATACGTTCATGCGGGTTCATTTCACTTCCAAACCTATTATCCTATTTGCTCTATATAATTTTTGTCATTGTGTCTAAATTCCAATCAGATCGACGATTTATTTATGGATGAGCAATCAAGGCG